TGCTTTTCTGCTTAGCGTTGCAAAATGCGTTTTGGATTTGCAACACGTAGGCGTTGCAACATAAGCTCTTGCTACGGTTGTAGGTGTGGCAACAGCAACTAATGCAACGCCTTAGGCGTTGCTGGACCTTGCAATGGCAACTTGTCCATGTCGTAGCAAATGGTGCTACCAACGATGAATGTGTGTTGCAAGACAATGTATTGCTACGCATAACGCGTGTGGCAACAAGGATTATGTCGCAACACCAAGAAGTGGTGGCAACATGTGCAATTGCCACACACAAGGTTTGGTTGCTATAAGGTGCAACATCTATTGCATCGCATAACGAGTGTGGCAACAAGACATATATGGCAACACCAAGAAGTGGTAGCAACATGTGCAATTGCCACGTTCGCATTGTCGTTGCTATAAGGTGCATACTCTATTGCATCACATAATGAGTGTGGCAACAGGAATTATATCGCAACAGCAAGAAATGGTGGCAACATGAGCAATTGCCACGTTCAAACTTTGGTTGCTATAATGTGCGGCCTCTATTGCTACACAAATTGTTTGTTGCTATAGAATATATTACCACAGAAAATGTGGTTGCCGAGATCCACTTTTACAACACTTTTGGTTTGTTGCCACTGAACAATATTATAACGCTATTAATTAATTAGAAACTCAATAGACATCAACAAAGCATTTGAATAAAGCCATTAAACCAAAATATTGACCTGTTTAATTTGTTCACATATGGAATTAAACGATCTAAATTCAAACTTAGGCTACACACACATTATTGAAACAAAGATATCCAACACATTTGTTCCTAAACCAAAACATCTAAGATGCCTAGACACCACTGCAGCTTCGCTTGGCTTGACTTGATTCGGACGATCCCATCACTCGTGCGCTCCACTCAAACTCTACATTCGTCCTGAAATAAAAAACATTGGCATTTGGCATAGGCTTCAGTTTTTCAGTTCAGCGACATTGCAAGTCACATGTTCATATGGATATGTAATTGTCATAGGAAAAATGAAGCTACAAAAAATCACCTCAATATTATCAGCCTGTACATTCAATTCCTTTTGCCTGATCGTCTCTTAGCCACAGCATCACTCAATTGTCTCTTAGCCAAGTATATCTGTAACAAGTAGAGATACCAACGACATAGCCATTTTATCATCAAACTAACAGCAAGAGTTATGGCTAGACCTAGCTGAATCACTGAACTGAAAGAGAAGCTCTGAAAACCTTGACTGGTTTCAGGAACAGCAAAGAACACAGGAAAGCCGGTAAATTTAGAAAGGGTACTGCAGCCCGAGTTCTTACAGAAAGTATCACCAAACATGGCCAATGGAATCCAATCGAACTGAAAATTTAACCAAAGCCTTGCCTTATCACGAGCAACACATTCCAGCAACTAGTTCAACACGGCAGCATGTTCACATAGCAATAGGTGGTAGTCAGGTAACATGATAAAAAAAATGCTAGATAGGTAACAGGATAAGTAAACAGCTTGCACAATGGAAAACAAAAATTAGAAACATGGAAGTAACCATTTTCAGACAAGTAACAGCTTGCACAATGACAAAAAACTCTGTAACTTGAAAATAAACTCTTATGCATGATGGCTGATGCATGGTGAATGTGCACTGATTATGAATGCAAAAACAGAAAAAAAAGATTGCAGTTCTGTATAGACAATACAAGCAGTCAAGCACTGTCTGAATCAAAGCAATTCAGAGATAAGTTCCCTAGCTCTTCATTCAATAAAAAACAACAGGACAATACATTTAGAATTAGTGCTCTTACCATGCTAGATCCCAACATGACAGCTCCATCTGTTTCAGATAGCCCTGCAGAGAAAATTGCTATTCAGTCCTGTGCTAATCATCATGCTGTATAGTAGCTAATCATTTCAGTCCTAATCACAAACTTGAAACTTGGAAAAGGCTGAATACTCATCATGCTCAGCTAATCATTTTCTTAATAACACAAATTTCAATCCTGAGCTATATATCTTTAGGTTGAAGAGGAAATAGGTGGTAGTAAATAAATGGCAGTGTAGTGTATCTTTCCAGAAATGCTATTGCAAACAAATATTGTAATTCAGTAGGGGCTGAAGAAATAGCGAGTTCTACAAGTAAACTAAAAATATATAAAAAGATCTACATTGAGGAGGAGATATACCTGCATGCTCCTTTAACCAAAAATATGGTCTGGTCTAAACTCTGCACAAATGACTTGTGCATTGTGGTCTGCAACATTCATTTCAGTTAAATCAACTACAAATGCAGTAAGTTTTTTTGCTAATTATCTATTAGTACAAGATTGCTATGTTCAACAATAAACAGGAAACTTGTTTAAGCTGCACAGGACTAAGAAGCAGCAATAAGTCATTTGTGAGTTGCAGACTAATTATCTATTATGTGAGCTGCAGACTTCATAGTGATCTGATACAGCACATTGCAATTAAAGAATATAAGTAGCAATACTTAGTCAAACAGAAATCCAACATTAGTAAGGCTACTTGCAAAAGTTATTAGTTTATTATGTTCGCTTCTATACATGATGGAAATGGCATTCCAGATTATTATAAATTGTAGAAAGTCTAAATGGAAATCATTTGAGCAGGAATGCAAAGTGAATACTAGAGGAAATATCATATTAGAGGAAATTAGATATGGGATGCATCTGACATAAAGCAGATCATGGTGCTCCTAGCACATAAAGTGACTGCAAAAATTGATAGATTTGATTATCATGTCCTTTTCCTTGCTCTATTGTTTAATTTCCCTCCTAAAAAAGCAATGGGATCTAACAAGAGAACTTTCAGTACAAGACACCCAAGTTTGTGGTATCTCATATCTGACGGAAAATTAGACAAACTCAATCTGTAGCCACTAGCTAGATACTCAACTTTCATCTAGATGCACTACTGTAAAGGGAGATTTACAGAACATAACTCTACTGTCCATCCTTTCTAGGCTCAGTCGGGCTACTCTGAAGGGAGAAAACTAACCAATTTGGTAATTTGGTGCCTGACATCATGTGGCATGAAACTTTTTTGTAAATTTCTCGAGAATCCTATTTTCAACTTCCTTCTGATTCTCTATTTTCACCTACATAGTTACAGGAACCAAGTTAGTACAGGACAGTAGCAATATATCCTTAGAAGATAGCCACACGATCATGTGCTAAGTAGTGCTCATGTTGTCCTATTGCTACAAAAATTGTACCTTCACTTTTGGATAAAGCATTCAATGAACTATAAAATAAAACACTGTCATGTGCTCCACAATATGCTATAGCATTCCTGCAATTTGTGGAGTTCAAAATAGCTATTGTGTTCGAAATTAACACAATTTTAGAAATACACACGCACTGAACTTCTCATAAGTTCCATATGCATACCTTAGAGCATCTCCAAGAGACTTTCTTAAACTCACTCACTATCATCATTTAGAGTCATTTGAATAAAATTCGTTGTGGTATGAGATCATATCATATCAGTGAAAAAGTTCAGTAACTACTAGCATCAACCATGCACAAAATAGTCTGAAATTCTCTTGTTATGCAGCGTACAAATCTATGACGATGGCAAGGAAATCACAAGGTAACAATTTAAGTGCCAGACTACAACCAAAATTATTGCTGACAATATAAACTGAGTCTGGCCAGATGGCAATTTGATCAGACTACCACCAAAACTATTATTATTTTCCCCCCAAACATCATGTCAATTCCATAAAGGTACAGCATAGTCCAAACTAATAGGAAAACTCCTGATTCAAAACTAATCCATGAAGAAATTTCACTGCACCAAGCATCAGAATTCTTAAATTGTAATCTTATCAAAGCATAAACATCCTAGGATTTCATAGAGTTGATGCTCGGAGAAGAGAGTGGACTGCGAAATAGGGATGGAAGTGTTAGAATATTAGGCAATTTTAGTAGCAATTTAATGTAGAAAAAGACAGAGAACAATATGAACATGTTGGTGACATCATGTATGTGCTTGTGTCTTAATCGTGACGAGCATGTAGATGATACTCAAACTAAGGATTGATAGCCAAGACCTTAAAAGGTTCGTTCCAGAAACATACCCAGCGGCAGAGCCGGATGCACTCGAAGACATAGTGCCTGTCGATGTAGTCGTCCTGCTCGATGCAGTGCAAATGAGAAGTTGTGCCGATCACCAGCGACCCTCCAGGAAGTAGAGGATGAAGTGAGTAGTCGTGCCGCCAGCGACACTCCCCAAAAACGTCCGCCCTTCACCCGAGCAGGCGAACTTGAAGACGGCAAGCATTCCGGAGGCCTACTCTCCCAGTTCCTGTGCGCGCAGGGAACCGGGACGGGAGAACTAGAGAGCAGCTGAATATGTGGTTGTCTCTGGAGCGAAGGAAGAAAATGACTAATGGAGGAGCCGAGATTATAAGCTCGCAGCCAGGGAAGTGAACGGGCGCAGGAGGAGATCAAAGGACGGAGAAGACGTGCGGGCACAGAAGGACAGAGACGGCAATAACAGGCGAAACTTCCGTCATGAAGCCGCCACTCACACAAAAGGAAGTAACTCCCGTGATTATGAGATTTGAATGGCAAAACCAGCCTTGTCCCGTCCCGTCCGTCCACCCGCCCGCTCGCCTCGCCCACACCCACGGCCCAGCTAGCGGCGGCGGCGTGCGCGCGCATGTGGCACACCTACGTCCTTTTCTCAGCTTCTCAATATAGATAGACAATGTCCAACCATGTAAATTGAGTCAACGTCTAGTCAAAACACCGTACGGTATTAAACCATATATCGTGCATTAATACAGGCCATAGAGTTTATTTGATTTATTAAATATTATATGGGCCAAGCCCATAATATATCTAACAGGAAGAACACACACACCATGATCTGATTTGATTCTATCCGATCCAACTGATGTAAGGTCGCCAACTTCCTAAGCCCCTCGCGCAATTCGCCAAACTTAATTTTCACTGGAAATCAGATCAAAATCAAGAACATGGGCCAAGGATCCAAGGTTAGGGTTCCAGAAAAGATTGGGGCCGAGAGGGAGAGAGGGAGGAAGGAGAAGGAGAGGGGAGGAGTGTCCCTCACCGGTGAGGATGCGGCGCTAGCTACTGGAGTCGCCGGCTGGTGGATGTCCTGGCCTTAGATGAAGGGGAGGGGGCGCCTGGAGAGGAGGCAATTGCCGTCTGACGGTGAGGAACATGGCCGGCGCCCTGGAGAGGAGGAGAAGGGGGCAGCGCTGCAGGGGATGAGGAAGAGGAGGCCGACGTGGGACTGGAGGAAGGAGATGGAGCTGAGGAAGGCCAGTGGGCGACCCAGGCCATGGATCTGCGGTCGCGTGTTTGGAGTTTGGACGGAGAGACGGCAGGTCGCATGCCTATGGAGCTTGGAGATGCGAGGGGCGGGGATTTGATTTTTTTTGTTTCAGGCTTGAGCGCGGGACTTAGCCCGTGTTTAGTTGGCTGAAGTTTGAAATTTGGGCTACTATAGCATTTTCGTTTTTATTTAATAATTAGTATTTAATTATGGACTAATTAGGTTTAAAACGTTCGTCTCGTAATTTCCCACCAAACTATGTAATTAGTTTTTTCCGTCTATATTTAATGCTCCATGCACGTATCACAAGATTCGATGTGATGGATACTGTAGCCCTTTTTGGGAAATCTTTTTGCAACTAAACACGGCGTTAGCTAAATTTTTTCGCTGAGACGCAGAGCGCGGGAGTTGGCCAATTTTTTTTTTCGCTCACGGCAGTGTGCGGAGGGTTTGGAATCCAAAATTCTTCAATTTTTAAAGTAGATGTTGAAACATAAAAGTTGGAGTTTCAATAACTTTTGAACTTTACTATTTTCTTTAGTTTAAATGAATTTATATGCATTTATATTGAAAATAATTTAAATTTGAACCACATGTACCTCAAATGAGATTTAAAAGTTTGTTTAAAACATATTTAAGGACATGTTACATGCTAGCTCGTTTTATTAAATTTTTTGTGACATTAACTAAAATTTGTTGAATGTAACTCAATACATAGATACTTTGTACATATTGATATCACTAGGTCTAGTCTTTATATGGGGTCCTCGTTAAAAGATAAACTCTAAAAACAAAATCTTGCGTCCACGCCTAAAAATGAGCAACTTAATTGAAATTTGTTTGAGATAACTCGTTATGTCAACGGTACTTTACCACCCATGAATGTGTACCATTAACTTTGGCAAACCATAACCCTATCTAGGGTCTATTTGGAACACATAAATTTCACAAGAATCTAGCAGGAATTTCACAGGAATTAGTTCAATTTCACATAAAAAACGCAGGAATAGAATTTTTTTCCCGCAATCTAAACAGGCCCTACTATTGGATTCACACTAACCCAAACATAATCCACTATATAATACACCAGAACCCTAATCAAAATGAACAATGGCTTTCCTAAACCTAACCCAAACTACAATAGTTGAAAAAGGATAAGTAACTTCAGTGCTTTTGCTAAGGGGGAAAGTAACTTTAGTGAATTAATATGAATTTTTTTCTAAAAATAAAATTAGATTCTAAAAATAAAATTAGAATTCCTTTTAACCCAATATATACTTTTTTATAATTAAATATATTTTTTCCTTTTATAGGAATTACTTCAGATTTTAGTTTCATGTGTGGAACGAGACCTTTAAATTATAGGTCTCCAGCAGCCTTGGGCCAATATGTGTGCTGCAGTTTAAGGTACCAATATCGGTTAAATCAATTAAATCTCAATATTTGATTTATGAATTTTAAAAACCATATCCTGTATATACTTGAAAAGAAAAAGAAAGAGAATCGGAAAGGTGGGGCCAAAATCAGGCACCCGCACGCGCTGCCTAGTGAAATTTTAGAGGCGCGCTCTTTTCCTCTCCGAGTCCCCGACCAATCTGCTTTTATCAGATCTCCTCTATGCCTCTGCTCACAGAATGCTGCTTGGGCCAAGCCAACAAGCCACAACTCTCTTTGTAAAAAAAAAAAAGTATTATTCTCGCTTTACGAGGAGTCAACTCATCTTAATTTTAAATAATGGACCGAGGAGGCGTAACTCTACAAAAACTGGCCTAGACGATTCAGGAGTCGACGTAGTCAATTTTACATGGGTCCATTTGCGATCGAACTCACACACATCACACCCTGGACACTAAAGCTCTGTTCGTTTATCTTATAATCCATTTTTTTAGCTTGTTTTTTTAGCCAAAACCGTGTTTTTCTCTCACAACAAATCAGCCAGAACAGTATTTCGACGTGTTTTTTCAGCGAAGCGAACGAGGCCTTAAGTTACAAGACTCGTCACAAAAACTGGAGAAACGGCCAAATGCCCTCCTGGAGTTTGGACTCCCACGAGTACCGGAGTCCTCTCTGAGCACGAGCGTAGGAAGCGACACGAGAATCGTGCCATTTGGGGCTCCTGGTCAGATTTTGATTTTTCATATATAGTTTTCAATGTAGTCTCTATATTGGTTTCATATGTATTCTCTCAGTTTCAAATTACAAAATATTTTGTTTTTTAAATACATTATTTTTACTATATATTTAGATATAATGTATATCTAAATATATAATTAAAGCTATGTACGTAGAAAACTATAATGACATATAATTTAATTAGATGGAGTGAGTACCAACGCGCAGGTTTGTTGCTAGTAAAAATAAACCAGAATGCGTATTTATAGATTTTTTTAGCCGCCAAATCGCCCCGCTAGCTGAAAACTGAAAAGCACCAATTTACCTTCTCTCCCGCGTCCCCTCCCAAAAATCATCTTCCCTCCCGCGTCCCTTTCCTCCCCCAAATCCACATCTCCTCCCCTCCCGTCCTTCCTCCCTCCCCCAAGAGGCCAAGACCCAAATCTCCTCCGTCATCCCCCTCCTCCAAGGCTGCTGTGTGGAGCATATCACCCCTGCCTCTCCTCCATCCGTCGAGGTACCACACCACGCTGAAATCCCGCGTCTCCGTATCCCTGCCATGGAAGCGCCTGGGCGGGCGTGCTGGCGGCAGCTTCTCCAGGTATGTGATGGCTGCATCAGCCGCTAGTGCCTGCATCGTCCTGCAGGAAGTCACTCGCGTCTGTCCCTGAGAGCGACAAACACGAGCGCCGCGTCCACCGAAGCAGCGCCGGGGAGCGTCGGCTCACCCTTCCCGCCGAGCTCCAGGAAACCGACCCTCCACCGTCGATCCCTGCATCCCTCCGGTGAGATCACCTTTCAACTCTTCCTTCACAGCGGCACGGATGCTCGACGGGGGTAAAACAGAGGAAAGCTGCAGAAGGAACTGACTGTGGCACCGCCGCTAGCTTCTGAACATCCGCATACGTGTCACTGCAGAAGGATGCTCGACGGGGGTAAAACAGAGGAAAGCTGCAGAAGGATCTGACTGTGGCACCGCCGCTAGCTTCTGAACATCCGCATACGTGTCACTGCAGAAGGAAGCTCGACGGGGGTAAAACAGAGGAAAGCTGCAGAAGGAACTGCATCCGTGCCGCTGTGAAGGAAGAGTTGAAAGGTGATGCAAATTTATCTTCATTTTGTAAGGCTATAACGTGATCCCAATGCATCTGTTTCTAATCATGATTTCTGTATGCACGTGCAGTAGTAATCAAATATAGTAATGTAAGATACTTTGATCAATCCGGGTAGCATTTCATCTATGGCAAAAGTATATTTCTCTGTTCTGCACATATATTTATTTCATATTTATGTTTTCTGAGTACTTACTGTCTTACTAAACTCAGATTAGTTACTGGAACTTAGTTTAACAGTATTAGTTACTGGAACTCAGTCTAGAATCTGTACTAGCAGCATCCATGCTTATACACTAATGACTGGAATATAAAGGGAAAAAACCTTCTTTAACTTAGTACAGCAGTATCCATACTTGTGTGCTTCTGTTCTCTCACTCTCATCTTCCCAGTGCAAGTGTTGTGTTTGTGTCCAAGTTAGTGAACATAATTGAAGCTATATGCTCATGTGCTGCGCTGTGGCTACCTGCAGATGGGCCCACTTGTATCCCTACTCTGCAGGTCCCCACCTCAAGGCCTCAGAAGGCTGTGGTGCTGTCCATGGAAGAGCTGTCCAAGCTCATCTCCACCTCCGGCGCCGTCCAAGACAGATAAAATCTGGAAAGAGTTGATAGATTTTGACACAGGCAGGTCCAATGTGTTTATGTCAAAAACTGTAGATTCTTCTAGCTTCTTTGAAGGGTTCATGTGGGCTGCCCAAGGTGCTAATATGTCGACTTTAAACTGTAGGTGCAATCGCTTTACAAAATTATCAATTTTAGAGGTATTAGAACTATGCATATGTCGACTTTATGGAATATTAAGATCCCACCTAGGGTACGTTTCTTTCTCTGGTTAATTTCGAATAACAAAGTTTTGACTCTGGAGATTGGAGTACGGATGCTCAGACCTTTGCCTAGTTGATTTTGATTTTTAAATGAGAACATGAGGTTACTCATTGCTTCTTCACTTCACTGCCATGCTTTGTTGTGTAGCTCTGTTGTGTCAACTTATCTATATTTATTGCAGGATAGTGCTTGTGCTTTTGTTTAGAAACTAGCAGTATGGAACTAGAACTAATTCAACAATATGTTAGTGTGGTGATGCTTGGTCATGTCTTATCTTATCATCTTATAAGCCAACCTTTTTCCTTTCATTAGTTGAAGAACACGACTCTACAATAATCTGATATACTGCCTACCTTTGCTCTGTAGAATAGAAACCTTTCCATTCCTGAACCAATACTGCTCTCGCTTTTTCTTTTTCTTTTCGTGCAGAACATAAATCTTTACTTGAGTGAGGTGATGCAGTATTGCAGTAGCCAAATAAATGCATAGCACTTTACTTTCCCCCCCCCCCTAAAGTTTACTCATGCAACTAGGCCGACCCATCTATTTCCCCGTCTGTACGGGGAGTAGGCTCATTAATATTTTGCGCTTAAGCAGAAGTGGTTGTGCTATCGTCCCTATAAGTGGGATTCTTGATTTAATTTCTTTCCATCATTCAAGATCTTAGCTAGATTTTTTCTTCAAATCTAGGTTTTTTTGGTTTAACTGGAACATCTAATATAGCTAAACAAGCAAAAAGGGGAAGCAGGGATTTGAAGATCATATTTTTTGGCCCATGCTTTTGTATGGAAAATCTGCAGGCTTTAAGTAGTGACAAATAAGCAATTTGCGCAATTCTGATCAGCTGAAAGCTCCAGTTGATTTGAGTTCAAATCTCGGTAAATCAATTTCCAGAGGCCTATTATTCTTTGAATTAAGGTACTAAGCACAAGCAGTGCTCAAGCATGGAACATCCTAGATACTTGCCTGCTAATGAGCTCTACTGAGTACCTGTAAATTAGTAGGGAGGACTGTGCTCCATCTCCCCACAACAAACCTTGTCATCCCCCAGAACATATTTCCAGTCCCTGGGAAAACACCGGCCACTTTTGACAGCAAGAGGGGCACATCCCCTAAACTAAAATGAATTTGTATTGTACATGGTAGCTGAAAAATTGTTGTTTAGATACAGTACTTTATTTCTGTAAAATGTAGGTGTATATATCATTGTTGTCTCCAGTTTCAGTATTAGATCAAATGAATGAAAGCCATGGTAATATGAGTTTACTCATTTGATTTTATTTTTCTGAAAAAATAAATCTACAATGAATGTGTCACATTGCATAATCAATATAGAAGTTTAATTTAGTAATCCTGTGGAATCTGTGTTCCTATTCAGAGTGCAAACTATTTAACTAGCTCATACAATGAAGTGCTTATTTTTTATTACTCTAGATTGCTTCAACGGGATCAGTTCTAGACATATACACCCCAAAGGATTTATGCATGCTTGATTTGTTTGTTTTCTTTCATTTGTTTGTATACTGATATAAAAAATTCATATCATAGCAATCAGGATGAAGCAGAATGATAGAACTTACAAGCATGGCAAGGGAATTGTTGGTGAGGAGGCCGGTGATGCGTCCATGCATTCAAGTAGACTTACTGCTGATAGTTCTTTTAGATATCAAACATATGAAGGGAATGTATACTTTTTTTTTCTAGTTGAGGCGTAGCCTATTCTTTCATCATTGCACGAGCTGTTATTTTTGTTTGTTGTTTATAGTTATCTATTTTCGCTTTGTGAACCTTATCTCATGTATGGAAATTTCTTATATTTTGTTTTGTGCAAATGTGCCTCAAAATGTACTTTGAACAAAATTATTGGATCCTTTTTGCCACTCAACTGTTGATTTATCTAGGTGTTTGTAACATCTGGTTTTAAGGACAAAGCCGAATGCACACCATATGTGAGCCCTGGTAATCAAACCTTACATATAGCTACAAATGGAGGGGCAGTATCAATTCACAATGCTTAGTAAATAGCGAACTTAGCAAAAGAGATAACCTTAGAAAGCAATCAACGGATAGACAACTCTGATCTCCGGGTGCAGACTTCACTCCACTGGATCCAACTGACTGGTTGATCACAAACCTAACTTCTCAAGTCTCTGACAAACTGTTATCCGGCTTGAGGTGTGGGGGAAATTGCAAGAGTGAGTCCATGTCAAACTCCGCAAATATAGCAACAAGGTAGTGTATTCCATAACCACATGATCAAGTATAATTGAATAATAAATAGCTCAAAATAACTCAGTTAAGCATAATTAAACAAGTGCTCATCTTTGGCGTAAGAATCCCTTGGCCGCTCGTGACCGTGAGCACGGCTGATATATCAGTTTATTAAACTCTGCGCAGAGGTGTACACTTTCACTGTGAGTCGTGAATTGCCCTTTCGCCCGAGGTGATCAGCCTCTTGACCCACTACCAAGGAAGGTCGGCAGGGTTCACTATGAAGCCTTTCAAAGATTCGTCTAACAAGTTAGGGCCATTAGATTCACTCAGCAAACAGATGTAGAGCCCCCCTTCCCGATGGCATATTGACACGCAGCCTATACACATGGGGACAAAGGCCGCACTATACCCGATTCGGCAAGCCATTCTTATGCCAATAAAGGTAACTACTAACAAGCTAGAAAAGGTCCTCATACTGAGCTAAAGCCAGAGCCATATAGCCCTCACAGCTGTACTGTAAGTCCCAGATGATCACTTACAAATGAAACCTTGTGGAGAGAGAATTTAACCCTCCTGTTGTTGCTAACAAGTCATCTTTTATAGTTTATAGCTCAATTATTAATCAAGTTTCAAGATCATGGTCACAGAAAGAAAACCCAAGCTATACTTGCCTTAAGCTCTTATCTTCTTTTTCTTGTAGCCAAAACCTTAAGTAAACTTCTTGATCTCCAACTTCTTATAAATCACCAACGCAAAACTCACTGAGACCGATCACAAAGCACCACACAAGCATCCGAACAAAGATGCATTGCAAACATAGTAGATTAGAATAATACACCAATCAATAAAAAGGTTTGAAAACCAACATACGCATTGCTACGATCACACAGACGGGAGAAACACTCTAACCGAACTACGATGAACAAGAAACGATGGCCGGGAGTTTTATATTATAAAAGAAAAGACTAGGCGCATGGTTTGCTTCTAATTACATAGGATCATGTGCAGAATATAACTTAGTCAATTTATATATATTTTTTAATTAAAACACCGAGTTCAGTCTAGTCATATTTTATTTTGAAGAATCGTTATAAGCAAACAAACATTATTTATGATAAGAATTTAAACGAGATTCATGCCTAATGTGTTTAGACCAAGCAGGGTATAAATTAAATATATTCATGTTCTAATAAATCAAATTAACATTTGATATATAAAAGGGGACGTTAAACCTATATTGTTTTTATTATAAAACTAGTTGCGTGTAGATTAATAAAATTATTATTTGATTATATAAACACTTAAATAGATAACATGGTAAACGTACAGACTATCGGGTACGTCACGTCTTTAGGAAACTAACACAGAAAGAAAGGACTAAATAAAACAAAGCTAAGATGAGAATACGGCCAGATTATACACAAGAGCTTACATGGAATTGGAGGTGTAGAGGAGTAGTTGTTTCTGCATGGCGTAGTGCATGGATGAAGGTACTGGCTTGTGTGTATACAAGCATGCATTGCGCTGAGTTGGAAGCATGCAGGTGTGCTTGCTAGGCAACGGGTTGAGCAGTATATGGATAGATAGCTTGCTTGGTACAGACACTCGACCAAGCCGAGGCAAGATGCAATTCACACGTGATGGACGAGGGAGACATGAACGTATGCCTGGAGTTCTCACCGATCAAGTTTGATAATGAATCCGACGATCCACGGCACAAAGGCAGAATCGACGGGCGTGGCGGCGGTTCACAAGATAGCGAACAAAGACGATGGAATCAGCAATGACCGGACGTGGTTGAGCAGTCTTGGAGCGCGTAGGTCCCACTACGAGCGGACGACGTCGACGAGGCACGGAGCAGCTCAGAGGCAGGGCGGCGAAGTTACTCCTTGGACAGCTTTGGTCGGGCATGGCGGTTAGGATCATGCATGAGGCCGGTGATGCAAGACGAGACGGCGGCGGCGACAGCGTAGGGCTGCGTACAATTTGATTACCTAGATTGGGATTGCAAGGGTTTGGAAAAGGATGCGATGGTTGAGTTTCCTATTTAAAGACGTTCGTGACCAGCGACGGATCCAGGAAATATTTTAGGGAGGACTGAACAACACTGCTGCTCGATCTTAAATCTCAACCCCCTACACTATAGAACTTTGCCTAAAAATTCATAGATGCTATACAGTAATTTGCACTGTTTCGGTTTGGGTAGGGGGGGCTTGAGCCCCCCGCCCCACTGCTAGATCCGCCCCTGTTCATGACAAACGTGACAAAGATGGATGTTGCGGCCTATAGTTTGGTATAGAAAATATGGTCGGATTCTCATAGGTAACGATAGAATTGAGGCCAGCAACAGTCGACGATGTATCGATCGCCCAGGTATAGTTGCTTTATGTCTTTAGATTATGAACATCACACGTGGCAAAAGGTGCATGGAACAAAAGAAAGAAAAGCGAGATAAGGTCCAGCATCCGTATTTTCATTGTATTTGTGGATTTGTTTTTCTAAAGGAAAACGGCAATAAAACATGAGATGATGTCATCAAAGCTAACAATGACA